ATCTCTATCTAAACAAATAGAATAATGTAAATTGTAGGTCAAAGTACTGAAGATAATAATTGACCCTCATTGCTTCCTTGTGGGGAAACACCCTTCTATAATGGGTCTACTAGTCACCAAAGGTAATAGACATATAGATTGTCACTTACCTTGTCAATTGTGGTTTACAAAATTGTATCGCTATCCAAAATAAAAGTATTAATTAGTTATTGTATTTCTGTAACATATAGATTACAGAATCACAAATATCATGGATGATGGTGAAGATATAAATTCAAGATACATGATGTCATGGTAATAATATCTTGGCATTTCTCTTATACTATTATCAACTTTCATTTGCATTATTTCCCTCTATTTTTATTATTAATCTGATTCAATAATGTTTTTTATTATGGAATCTTTTGAATGGATAAGGACCCATTTTCTCAAAGAAGCAAATCTTTTTTAATATATAGATTATGAAATCAAGGAGGTCATCGCAAATGATGATGATGATAATGAAGATGATATGAATTCAGAATACACCAGCAACGATGGTAATGATATCATGGCCATCATCAGGCTTGCTTGATTTCTATTCTCTTTTTTTTTTATTTTTAAACTTTTTTTATAATATAGTCTTCAAAATTTTTTTCAAAGCAAAGAAAAGAGAAAATCTATTTGGCTGTCTCAATTTGAAAACAATTTTAAAATTAAAAAATTGACCGAGATGGTTATTAGCAATTTATGATAGTGGCTTATGATAATTATTAGTCATGGTAATTGTAATTTTCATTAATAAAATGTAATGCATTTTGAAAATGAGAAAAATAAAATGAAAATAATTTTGAAATGTTTCTATTTTTTATTTTCATGAGAACATTTGTGGAAACAATTAAATTCAAAATGCGCTTATCTAAACAAGTTTTTGTTTTTAAAAGCAGAAACCAGACAATTACTTTACCTCTCCATGTTTATTATTTTCCTCTTGCTTTTGTTATCCGACCATTTAAACTTATAAAGATCCATTTTTGCCAAAGAAACAGGTCGTTTTTGACATTGAATATATAGAAAAGTATAAGCAATAATTGCTAGAAATAACTATTTATACTTCATTCATTTATTTATTCACCAAAAAAAACTTTCTTGTAATAGAGACATTGAGCCCGTTTGGTTTCTGTCTTTACTTTTTGTTTTTAAAAGCTATTTTGTACTATAATTTTTAAATGTTTTTTCAAAACAAAATAAAATAAAAATTAGTTTGGTTATGTTATTTTAAAAGCAGTTTTACAATTAAAAAATAGTTTGATAGTAATGGTATAAATAGTTAATGATAGTAATTTATTATAGAAATTGGTCAAAGTAACTATAATTTTTAATAATCAAATAATCAAATGTAGTGAATTTTGAAAATAAGAAAAATAAAATGAAAACAACAATAGTATTTCTATTTTAAAAAAATAAAAAACAAAAATTAGTTTTGAAAACAATTAGATTGAGAACACTTATCCAAACAGGTTTTTTAAAATTTTTATTTTCAAAAATAAAAAAAATTAAAATCTGAAAACAAACAAGCCCATTGTTGCTGAATTTTGTATGTTCACACATAATTTTGATATATGCATGATTTTATTTATTTAAAGTTCTCTTGATCATAATTCATAATGTCCAATTAGCAATGTCAAGACAAAATCATGTGTGACTTAGGCAAATAATTATAGTTTGGAATATATCAAGAAATATTTCAGTTAAAACTAAATATGTATGTCATAACAGTTAAAAGAACATAGGCAAATTAACTGTTAAGAAAATTTTATTCTCAGTCTCTATTTTAAAGCACTAATAGATGTAATTTGAACAAAATAATTGTCCTTCAATAGAACAATTCGGTACAAGGATGAATGAGAAAGAACTAGCACTTGGCAAGAAACGAATGTTGATGGGGGATGACAATATTGCCTTAGTAAGCTCATATATTTTTTGTGTTATGTTAACACTTCATATAACTTTGGACTTTCTTGTTAATTGAGTTTCAATCTATGACATTTTTCTTGCAGAGTTCAGCTACGGGTAGATGCACAAAGAGAGGAAGAAATTGCTCAATCAATCATAATGAGATTGACAAAATCACACCTGAAATCCAATTTGCCAATGCTGCTAGTGAAATAATTAATAATCAAGGTACCAATTCAACCCAATGGCTTCAATATTAAACTACATTTTTAACAATTTCTATATGAATACAACTTTTGATATATCACATATTTCCTTATGTTATAATTTTATCCTTTTTTCTCATTGTCAACTTTCTATTTACCATTTCATGCATTTCAAGTTTCACTGGCATCTTATGTAAAAGACTATAAAAGAGAATATAATAGCAGTAAAAACCTAGTTTACTTGTCCTAATCCTTCATGACTTAGGTATATGCTAATGCCATAGCCAACCAAGACAGGTTACATGTACTATTATAATTGGCCTACATAGTTGTATTCATTATTCAACTTAATAACTCAAAGGTGCTTCAAAACTCTATCTAAGCACAACAAATATACTGATGTGTGACAGCAATGATATAAATAATCGATATAAGTGGCTCTCCTTGAATTTTTCTATTGAAGCAATGTTTGACAATCTGAATGCAAATGATACTTCATTACCAGTGTTTCCATTTACAAATCATGGCGGTGATGACACCAAGGTACATGCATATATGATATGGTAATATAAACGAGTATATTCAATAGTACATATGCAGATTTCTTAAAAAGAATAATGTAACCATAACAGGTCACAATTTTGAAGAAAACAACTGGCTCTCATCGCGTCCTTGCTGGGAGACACCATTGTCCGAGGGTTCAACTAGTCAACAAGGTAATGTTGGAACAAAATTAACATGAGGCCACACATGTAAAATAAAAAATGTACTGTGTGGCCATTATTATAATTTAGCCTAAATAAAGTGGTCTACTTGAAAAAGTTTTAAGGCTTAAGGGGGTGTAATTATTATGGAATTAATGTATAGAGATTGAACTGTATTTATAATTTGTTGAGGGGCTAAACCATAGATAATACAAACTTAAGTCTATAAATAGAGGTCGTGATCCTCAGATTGAGCATAACGAGAAACTAATTCTTTGACTCCTTCTAGAGAACCATAAGGAAGTTGCAATGTTTATAATTTGGAAGATCACAGTACGCCAATCCATCAACATATGGAATCTTGTGACTCTGGATTTATCTGTTCAGGTATGCTTTCACATTATGTTCTATTCCTCGGAATTGATATGGGATTACATTCAAGTTTATAATTAGCTGCAATTGATTCTTCGGTTTGAATATGAACTCGATTGATCTGGAACAAGCAATTCCAACAGGTAATAGACCTATAGATTTCATGGAACTATAAACATTTCACTATATTAGAGTAATTTGAACAAATGAAAGTTAAAACAAATTTATCTTAATTTGTGTTTGGATGTCAGAATGCCAACAACAACAAAATATGACTCTCATAAGTGGGGACGAAATCCAAGAGGTTCAAAAGATGATAGAAAAGCTACAGGAAAGGAGATTGTAGTCTACAATGATAGCATAAATGAGAAATGACATCGCCAATTTATCACAGGTATTTTTATAATTAGAAAAAATATAATAATGAAGCATTTCTCTTAATGGATATGTACAATTTTTAATTAACATAATAATTATTTTTGCAATTCTTGAATACAAGAACCAAACTCTGCACCAATTGAACTTTTCCTGATGATTCATTTGGATAAATTATTTAGGGTCATACTAGGGTCAAATAATATGTAAGAATGTGTGTGTGTTTGTGTGTGTGTGAAAGATAGTTTAAATAAGTTCAATTTTAGGGTCATACTAGGGTCAAATAATATGTAAGAATGTGTGTGTGTTTGTATGTGTGTGAAAGATAGTTTAAGTAAGTTTAATTTTAGGGTCATAGTAGGGTCAAATAATGTGTGTGTTTGTGTGTGTGTGTGAAAGATAGTTTAAATAAGTTCAATTTTAGGGTCATACTAGGGTCAAATAATATGTAAGAATGTGTGTGTGTGCATATTCACTAATATAATCTCCTTGACTCACCCCTTCATCTTCATTCTAATATGCAGCTAGCTATGGGATATTCACTCTACATCTAGACTCTGCTTGCCTTCATGTCAGTGAGGCAAGCAATTTTGAAGAATCATGTTGATAATAGATGGACAAGTTTGTAATCGTTGGGGAAAAAAATATTTGCCTTTAATTTTAAGTACTTTTTTATGTTTGTTGAAGTAGCTAACCTAGCTGGAATAGTTTCTAGATGGAGAACTATATTAATATTACTATGATCGTTGTATGGTTCGAATAAATTTGAAACTGAGGGGAATTATCCATTTCTTAGGAGGACTATCAAACTCTTTGGTCAATGGTTATAACTATTATTTTTAAAATCATTAAAAAAAAATTGAAAGCCTTCAAGCCTATTCTAATGCTTCAACTTGTACAGTTACAACACCCTTCCAAGGTTTCCAATAGGCTGAACCACTACAATTAAAAAAGCTTTTTGAAGCGTTTCTTTTTATAGTTTCAAAGCATTTTGTAAACACTCCAAAAGTAGAAGCTCCCGTATATACAGGAGCATTTTTCAAATGCTTCCGTAGGGAAGACCTGTGGGAGCTTTTCCTACTAGACCTGTGGGAGCATTCCAAGTAGGAAAAGCTCCCGTAGGTACCTTTTCCATTTTATAAAAGCTCCCATAGGCTGATCATATGGGAGCTTTTATGCCCATAAATGCTCTCATATAGATCCCTATTAGAGCATTTGTTTTCAACAATGCTCTCGTATAGGATCCCTATCGAAGCTTTTCTTCTAGGAGATGCTCCCATCGGTTTATTTAAAAAAAAATATTGAATTCATTTTTTATCCTCTTCATGCATTGTACATCATGACTAATATAAAAAAATTATTTACATAATTAATATAAATATACAAGCAATTGCACTTTATACAAAAGTTCAACTAACTAGTTTCCAATACCATGATATACATAATATTATAATGTAGATTACAACCTGAGAAACTAAAAACATTTGCAATACTCTCATCCTTACATGGTACAAATAAATACATCTAACACTATTCTTACTTAGTTGCAAAGTACTCGTTCACATTCTATCTACAAAATATAAAGAAAAATAATTTAGTTAAACTATAAATATCATATTAATTATGAACAAACACATCGTTCAAAGTCCATACCTCTCTGTTCACGTCCCATTGAGATAATTTTTTTCAAAAAAAAAAATGTGTAACATTAGGCATATTACTTTGAGCCTGTATTTTTTCTCAAAGATGCAAAAGACATCCTTTTTGTGAAGGCTAGGACTAAATTCAGATTCACTTATCTCATCCAACAAGCTGGAGCATAACATCTGCTTTTTCACATCTCCATCTTTAGATTGCCAGCTTCAATTGCACCTGCACGTATATACCATGACAAGACATTCAGAAACAAGTCTATGTTAAGCAAGTGAAAGATCAATTTTCTATTCCAGATGCATAATCCTAACCCCATGATTATGATGTATTGAAAAATTATTAATTAAGTGATATTCATATGCTAAGTATATCTTTTGTCATGTTATGCAAAAACAACAAGAAGCATTAAATACTGTGTGCATCGCGTCAAAAAGTCTCCACCACCTTTACTTTCTATTTCTATGAGAGAAAGAAGTGGGAAAGGGAAAGAAGAGTCAGAAAGATTAAAAAAAGGTCTCACAATTCATATGCACTCATCAATATCAGTGGAGGGCTCTCCGCTCTTAGTCTCATGTCTCTGTCACAACATTAAAAATCCCTCCTACTTTATATTTACTTTCAAGTTCTAAGATATCAGGTTATAGAGGGAAAAAAGTGATTTGGCAGTACATGAATTTTGTAGCTACTTGTGAATGGTTGAGAAGGAAAGGACGTCAGGGTTGTTCTGGCTTGATCAAAAGCCACATTGTACAGGTCCTGCAAATCAGCTTTACATAATGAAAATGGAAGAATTTGCTGCAATCCATACAAAGTCAATGAGAATAGGTTGAAAATGTATAGGCTTTTCTTGAATAATTTGAAAATGTATAGGCTTTTCTTGAATAAAGCAATCTTCATTATTCAAGAAAAGCCTACGCAACAAATTCAATGTCAAGATCAAAGGAGTCAAGGCAAGGGGACGTTGTCATCATTTCATCTTCTTAAAAATATACCTATTTTTGGAGCAGTAGACCTTGAGGTCATTAGCTTCTCAACCATTAGAAACATGTCTAGACATTCTCAACTGTTCAGGAACAATGAGAGTTCCACTCTTATCCTGGTAAGATTCATAGATAAAGTCTACAATAGTGTCCTGCAATAAGCTATTCAGTACAAGATTATGAACCAGTTTTGTAAATCTCTGAGATAAATAAGGTGAAAGATTTTATCTTGATAGTTTATTGTTTGTCCCGCAACTATAAGAGAAAGAGCAAAATGGCAATAAACTAAAATTAAATGAATATACCAGTGGTTTAGAAGCTTTAAGCTAGTGGTATATGTGTTCATTTTGAAACCATGTCAATTGTCTTTTGGCAAAATTCCTGCATGAAAGTGTACCCAATAAATTTAATTGAAATGAGCACCTCATGAATAGCCAACAACGCTAAAGGGTAAGAAGTGGTCACTTGAATATAGCAATGCAAGACTAACTACAAACAAGGGCATTTTTCACAAACAAAATGTGAAAACAAAAGCTTTCTGGTGACTACACCTAAGTAGGAAAACTCAACTATAGAAGCAACATGATCCAACAACATTTGTTCAAGAAGTTCAATGTTTCATCATTTCCTGCCATTACAGAAAAGGGCATATTTTAAGTAGAAAATCACTCTTATATCTACATGGTCTTAACCCTCTCTATTCATAGAAATTAAAATGAAGAACATCGTCCACCTTTAATCAGATGAAGCCACCAAGTTTTGATAAAGCAATGTTCCATATAAAATCCCATGTCAAAATCTATTTACTATCAATTGAGAAGTCGGTATCCATCAATGAGCATGAAAGGCATATCTCATGATCAACAGGTCCTTTCTCAAAAAAAAAAAAAAAAAACGGCTCATTTACAAAAGCAAGCAAGAAAATAAATTTTGTCTAACGAAATTTCATGGGAAACTAGCCAATGAATGTTCTAGGAACTCAGTCAATAGAAAAAGAATGTTCTAGGAAATAAAATTAAAAAATGAACCGAGATCCAGAATAATGAGTCACATGCCCTTTGGATCTGTGTAGTGTCTTTGCTTGTAGCTTCAACCTAACGGAAAATGATGAAGTGGGTAATGTCTAACCTCTACTTGTCATTGAAGAGATTGAACATAATTGATGATTTCATTAAGCATGCCTGCTTTTCCTGTGATTTTGTTACAATCTGGTACTAAACCTTGCAAGTATTTCATTCTCTCTCTAATCTTTTCCCTTCTAACCTACAAGACGAAACAGAGCTTGCATTGTTTAATTACCGGAAGAAAAGCCCACAAAGAAAAGGATCGATCATTATCACATAAGATGGCAAGTCTTCGACGAGCAGCAGCAACATCGAGCTAAAGGAAGACGACCGGTGGCGAGCTTAGTGCAGTAGATCTGGTTTGGGTCGCAGATCTAGTTTGGGGGGAGGCATCGAGCTTGAGCAGCAAAGGACGAGAAGAACAGCGAGGAAATTACTGAAGTGATGTTGAATAAGGGTTTCGAATAGAGTGGGCACTGGGGTAAAAACTGAAGCATCAAAATGTTAAAAAAAATCTGAAATTAAAAAACATATTGGGCTAATGGGAGCGTTTAAACTAAAAAAAGCTCCCATAAGCTTTGATCTACAAGAGCATTTTTTATCCAAAAAGCTCTTATAAGCTTGTCCCAAAAAAAATTTAAATTACACCTTCAAGTGCTTTTCAACCCGTAAACGCTCTCGAAGGCAATAGCCTGTTAGAGCTTTTTTATTTAGAAATGCTATGCCTCATGTTTTAAGAACGTTTTATCTTAAAAATGCTCTTGTATGGGCACTCTCATAAATCTATTTTTGTAGCAGTGAACACATTGACATTTCCTTTTAGAGATTGTTTTTTGCTCTTCTTTTTTAATAGAATTCATTGAAAAATATTTTCATGCTTGCTTGATAAGTGATGAATTTTGCATCAGTTTATATCATTATCATGTTTAATGGTATATTTATATTGAGCAAAATACAATTAGGTGAAGTTTATTTTCAAATTAATTTAAACTAGAAAATAAAGAAAACAGAATGATTCACAAACTTCAAGAATAAATTAAGACCTAAGATTATTTATCCCATTTACATTTCATTACTCTGAAATTACCTCCTCTCATAAATGTTTTTAATGAAGATTTTTAAAATCTCATGTGACAAAAGGATCTAACCATCTAAGTATGGTTATAATTTAAATACATTAATTTAATTAATTAATGATTTAAAAAAACATTTATTATATTATTATTTACAATATCCATTTATTTACTCCCTCTGTTTAAAAATATAAGACATTTTTTAAGAAGTTAAATATTTAAAAATGTAAGGAATTTTTAGTCTTTCGAGATGTAATCATTGTCTTTTTTTAAAAATACTCCTATTGATGAATGACTTTATATTTATTATAGGGTATTTAATAGGGGTAAATATAAAAAGATAGGGTTAGTTTAAGAGTAAGTAACTATTTTATTTGGAGGTGAGATTCGATAAAAAATACCTTATATTTTTTTAATAGAGAGAGTACTTATTATATAAATTAATAACCATGACATTGTGAGGACATATTATCCTACACGATAAGGCAATCAAGCCGAATATCTATAAAGATTCTTCAAATCTCTCATGATAACATTCAAATATTTTAATTGATTATAATTATATTTGGAAAATGATAAGAACAAAATGTTAATTTAAATAATGGGCCATTGGAATCTATGTTTAATAAATAAGAGTGATTATCACACTTATGAAATCTTATTAATTTATACGGTATGAGATTATATCAAATGATGTTTTAAAAATTCTCGCAGAAAATTATTAACAACTATGATACAAATGATTATATGTTTCTAAAACAATTTGTTCATGAAAATCCACTAAAGGAAAGGGAACCAAACTACTTGGATATTTTATTCCTATTTATCTTGAGGATGTGCAATATGAATTAGTACTCAGAAAAGGGAACGATAAAAGAGGAGAAAAATGGCAGCAACATCCACACATTTAAAATCTCCATATGAAAATGATGTCATTCAAAATCAAAATTATTTTCAACAATTACTCAATTGATCTCAAAGGGAAATTAAACGCAAAATAGTGTCATGACATTGAGAAACAAAGAGACAGAAATCAAACTTGGGTTGATTAATACTCCTTCATGCTAAAAGACAAATTTAAATCTAACTTATCACTTAGCCCAACAATCTCAACAATTTTTCAAATGTTAGAACCAAAAAAATTATGGAAATGTATCATAACTAAATCAATCTCATTTGTGGAAGAAAATAAACACATGTTAGAGCATATTTAAGATGTTGAAATAAAGTATTAATTACAAAATACAACTTGGAGGAAGAAAACACAATGATATAAAGTTCTATTTAAGGAGAAATAAGTTAGATATTTTTGCTTTCAAATTCCAAACTGATCAACAGCCCCAAAGAAGATCTTGAAACAAAACCAAACCTATGATAACTTTGAATCTCTATTATTTAAATAATCACACATAATTCTCGCCATCATCAAGATTAACCTACATTATAGCCCTAAAAAAACTCCATCAAACTAAAACAAAAGGGGTTGTTCAAATATTTTTTTTAAAAAAAAGAGCAATAAAATTTTTGTCAAGCTACAAATTGCAATATGAAGCTAAACACATGACATCTAAAACCCAAAAATCAATTTCCTCTGGACCACACATACAAGCACACACTAACTCAAGCTTATATATCACAAAGCAACTCTAAATAACACTTTAATCTTGACAGAAGTAGGATGCACGTAAATGTGATTATATAATCAAAATCTTGGAAGATCCTCAACAAAGTGCTAGTTATTAGACTGTGAAACCAACTTCAGTCATTATCAGAAGCATAATTTGAGACTAAATTTCATCCACCATACAGTAAGGCAAATGAATCATATGAACAGATTATATAATCCAGCCTTGTTCTTACAGCTGCAAGCAAGAATCAATCCCACGATAAAACCTTTAATGAACATTAAAATAACTATTTTCAACACCTAATCCATATATCCAATCAAGTCTGTATGAAACATATCCTCAAAAACAATTGCTTAAATAATACAGACTAGTTTCTAACCATTCAAAGTCATGCTTACAAACAAGATTGGTACATTCCAAAATCAATCAAACTTTTACAGAGTAGTGTGAGGGGTTTTAATTTGAAATCAGAAACCAAAATTTAAAACATGGAAGTTAATCTCCACTTCCAATCTCTCGGTTCAATCAGTCCTCCCTCTTCTACTTCTTCAATCTCTGCTTCAATCGCAAAACTCTATCACTCTTTCTAAATTCGGTCTACTCTCAGAAATTTCTCTGAATCTCTCTTGCACTCTCAAAACTCAGAACCTTTTTTAGAGATCAGACCATCTCCCCTTTATATAGAAGACAAATATCATACCTGGATCACCTAAATCTATGAACTGTGACTCGATTTGGCTTCTCCTTTCTCACACAGTGTCGGATTTCATCTGCAGAGCCAGCCTTCTTAAGTTTTGTCTCTAATCTTTCCTCTTCTTTCTAAATTTCCTTGTCTAATCTTGAAAGCAAACACAGGGAAGGACTGACTGGGGCTTGTGTGTGAGGGGAGAGGTGTTTGCGTGGCCGACTTTGCCTTCTGACCTCTGAGATGCAACTATAGAGAACTAGGAAGTGAGTCGTCTCTGCTTCTCTTCTCTGCATGAACGACTGCGTCTCTAATCTTTTCTTAAAGAACTAGGGCAGGTTTGAACAACTGAAAGGTAAACGCTGCACTTTAGTCTTCATTATTTTTTTTTTTAAAATTATAACCCTTTTCCTTGTTTAATGATATTCATTATTATTTTTTATATGTCACATATTCAATTTAAAATAAGAATATATATAATCAAGTATCTTATCTTAATCTAGATTTTTTTTATTTTAAACGTTTAGAAGGAATTTTTTAAGATTTTGCTTGATTTGTTTAATTATCATTTTTAAATTTTGATTTTTTTAAAAAAGAAAGATTATCTAGAATAGAAGATCTTTTCTTAATCCTAGATTTTCTTACTTCTTGAAAAATAAAATAAAAATATTATTATTTTTTCAAACTAATTGTTTTAACAAATCAAAAGAAAGTAACAATAAAACCAATCCCTATTTAATTAATTTTTTATCCATATTATTAAAAATTCATTTTTTTTTAAATTTAATTATTATTATCATATTTAAAAAATTCCCAGACAAAATATATTGTTTACACCTAGACTCATATGGATAGATTTTTGTCAAATCTAAAAATATATATTGATTTATTGAGGTTTAGATAATTGTTTGGGATGAGAAACAGATTATTATGACTATAAAATAATGATTTTAGGCTTGAGACTAAATTTTTATTTTTGAATATTTTTAGGTGCTAACTTATGAAATAAAAAGGAAAATTTTAATAATAGAAATTAATTTAGAGGTTGATTTTACCTTATTAGTGTTTATTGATGATTAAAAGAGGAGTTAGAAATTTTAGATGAAGGTACTAACTCTAGCTTTGTATTAATAATGGGATTAGGAATTATATTATGTTCTCTAATTCTATTATTAGAGTTATTTTACTAGTTTCAATAATTGAAATTAATGTTTATAAATACTATATTATGTGTAGATTTTGTTATTGGTAAAGACTATTGTGGAGGAAAAATTGTAATAAATAATTCATTTGAAAAAGTCATGAGATAACTATACTTTAATTTGTGATTAGTATTGCTTTATGTTATTTTTGTGATTATTAAAAAAATTTGTGAATTATTGTTAAAAAATTATTTTATTATATTTACAAGAAAATTATGTGAAAAGACTTAAAAAAGTGATGTTAAAAGCATTTTCTATAGCAGTGGTAGGTCTTCAGTCAATTTGCGAGCTGTCCAAGAAAATCCTGTCTAACAGTGCAATGAACATGGTCAAATACATTAAGAAATATCTAGGAAGAGGAGTGTTCTTTCCTTCCAAAGGAGATATTGTGGTAGTGAGCTATTGTAACTCCATTAGGCATCATGTGTTGAAAAGAGGCATGCAGTCACAGATTATCTCACAAAACTAGGAGATGCACCCATTTTTTGAAAATTTAAAAAGCAAACCATTGTATCAAAATTCTTAGTTAAAGCTAAGTGTAGAGCTTTAGACAGTATCGTGTCTAAGATATTATAGTTGAAAGGGTTATGGCATAATATAAGTTTCACAAACATTGCTTTAGTCACTATGATGTGTGACAATAAGTCTAGCATACAAATAGCCTCTAATCTAATCTTCCATGAGACGTGAAGCATGTTGAAATAGATTGCCACTTCATGCAAGAGAAATTATAAGAAGGCCTAATCTCATTACAACATGTCTTTTCGAAAGAACATCAAGCTGACATTCTAACTATGGCTTTAGGAAAATCAAGTGATGAAAGTTTCTGAACAAGCTTGGAA